AGTCCTTCATTTGTATCCTCTTTTTTTGTTTAGTTTTGTCAGAGATGGGTATATTCCATTGTCACTTAAATATTGTAGGTGTATGAATTCAGCAAAATAATCCAAGTTAGTCTAGTAGTCCATAATAGTAGTGGGTTATCCATAGGACTGGCAATGTCAGAAGTTGTTGACTTGAGCCTTTTACAGCTCAGCATATTAATATGGCTTTACGTTTCATACCTCATTTTTATACTTTTCTGCTGGATGGTTAAGACCAAGATGAAGCAAGATCTATAGAACAAGAAATGTAACTTTTGTATCTGATAAGGTCAGTCAAACCCCCTCAGAATTTACCCTGAAACTGTGTACCGCAGTTTGTAGATCCTTTGTCATTGTCAGCCATGTGAATGAGTCAATTTGCTCTTTGTGAAAGCCTGAGAGAATGTTTTCTTTTCATGTGACTCTCCTTAGGCACACTACATCATCCATCGATCACTTTCCTTTTTGGCCCCATAATCTCCTTGATCAGAAAATTTGGGATACTTGATGGAAAATACCTATTCCATGCTATATCTAAGATGTTTGATATTCAGATAGTGAGGTTACGCTCAACTACCTGTGCTATAGGGTCATAATATCATTAAGCTTTTCTTCTGGAGGGTTAACAACTTAAGTTTGCAGACCAAAAATTAGAGAAAAAGAAGAACTGCAAGGACAGCCAACATTTTGGCCCTAGCCTTTCAAGGTCAGTGAGGACTCAGGACATAAGCAAACCTGTACTATAACATCCTGTAACTCAGTTGTGTCCCAAATTTTATTTTATTATTTTTAAATTTCTCTTATTTGATACAAGTACTAACTATACAGCTTGGACTTGTAGTGATCCTCCTGTCTCAGACTCCCCAGCACTGGGATCATAGGTGTGCACCATGCAAGACACACCCATGGTTCCAGGGCCAGTGCAGCATGTGGTACTGGGGATCAAACCTGGTTCCTTGCACTTGCCAAGCAGGTGCTTAACACCACTGGGCTATCTCCCCAGCCCAAAAGCATTTATTTTACAAAAATTCTCATTATACAATAGTGACATGAAAATGAATCACAGTCATCTACAAATTTAATTTTCTAAGATGATTCTTTTTTGTTTAGTACTCATGATTGAACCAAAAACCTTTGCCCTAAGTTGCATCCTCAACCATTTTTTAAATTTTTAATTTTGAAATAGGATCTAGAGGCTGGGGAGACAGCTCAGTTGAATAAGTGCTTGCCTGGCAAGTGCAAGGGCCTGAGTTCAATAGCCGGTTCCACCAAAAAAAAAAAAAAAAAAAAAAAAGGATCTTGCTCAGTTGCCTACACCAGGCTCAAACTCGTGATCTTTTTGCCTCAGCTTCCCAGAAAGCTGGGATTACAGGTGTGTGCCACCATGCCTGGCTGATAAAATATTTTTAAAGCCATTTACATTTGTTTCAAGTGAGGTAAAACTATTCCATTCTTGATTCATTACCAGTTCCACTCCCAGAAGGGCACTGCCATTGTATCTTTTTTCTCAGTACTAGGACCTTTACACTGAGTTGTGTCCCCATCTCTTTTCATTATTTATTTTGAGGCAGGGTCTCACTAAGTCAGTAGATTATCCAGGGTAGGCTCAATTTGGGATCCTCCTGCTTCTGCTTCCCAGAGGACTGAGATTAGAGGTATGTACCATTATGCCTGATTTTGCCATTAGATTGTGAATAAGCCTTAGCTCCTGTTTCTAATGAATCTGATACTCATTATCGCCTAATTTCCTACAAAGTCACAGGCTACATTAAATTCCCATATTATACCTTTCATTTTTCCCAACTCTATTAGAAATTATCTCTATTAGCTTAAATCAGTTGTGTCACTTTTTTTTTTTTTTTTTTTAATTAGAGATTGAACTCAGCACCTCCTTAAATAAGCTACATCCCAAGTCTTTTTTAATTTCTGATACAAGGTCTCACTCTGCTGCTGAGCCTGGGCTTGTGATAGTAGTGGTACCTCAGCCTACCAGAGTACTGGGACTAATGCATGTGCCACCAAAACTAGCTAATAGTATCACATTGTTATAATTGAAACATCATTCGCTCCCAAGTTAATTCATGGCTGGCTGGCTCTCTTTCTTCCTCTCTCTTTTCTTTCTTTCTTTTCTTTCTTTTTTTTTTTTTTT